CTGTGTCTGTCTGTGTCTGTCTGTGTCTGTCTGTGTCTGTCTGTCTGTCTGTTTGTCTGTCTGTCTGTCTGTCTCTCTCTCTCTATATATATATATAATATTAAGATTATTCTATGACCTATGTGATATTGTGATGAATCAGGAGAAGAGCTAGATTTTATATATATATATATATATCTTCACATCCAAAACATATCAAGTTTTAGGAATAGAATTTATGCAACACGCAGAGGGAGTTGTCCAGGGTGCCTTTCCTGGGCGACTTCCAGGAATTTCTTTTCAGCATTGAAAGCTCTCCAGTGTAGGGGTTTTCTGCTCGGATGTGGCCAATAGCCGCTCAATAGCCCAAATACATGTGTATATATATACCAGTAGTACACATATATATATATATACCAGTAGTACCCGCATACTCGGCGGGGCGGAAGTTGCAAAAAACGGCTATACTATAAGATCTTTTTCATCTTGCGTGCGCCGTGCGCCCAGGCCCAATCAGGCCCAAGCGTGCGTGCTTTGTGCGAAAGTGATGCGCTCTTCCAAATGTCACACTTGAAACTCCACACTCCACACTGCACTCTTCAAACTCCACACTTCACACTCCGCACTTCATCTCATCTAATCTAAGCATATCTAAGCTCATCTCACCTCATCTCAGCTCTTCTGTACGTCAGAAAGCTTTTACTGTCAGCGGGAACCTGGGAACCTCTGTTTTGACAAAAACCATTTTCTTTTTGGTCGTTACATCCACAACCACAACCTATCGAACAAAAGACGATCAAACATAGCGCCCGCCCAATTTGAATAAACACGACGAATGAAATCGAAGCCAAACCGAAGATCAACATCTGCTTTCCTGGCATGCACATTGAATAATCCAACCACACTGCTTGCGCCAATGTGCACCAGGTCTGCGTGTCTGGCTTGCTCTTGCGGGCGCAAGGTAGCGCCGTAGTCATCCGAAGCACAGATCATGCGCCCCCAATCTTTCCACTGCTCTAATTTCTTCTCAAGACGCTTAAAGTGCCGGTTCAAAAAGTTCATGCCAAATGAGCCCCATACCGGCTTGTCGGCTTGTCTCGAATTGCCCTACTATTAAACACTGCATCCAAAGACAATTTCTGCGTGGCCACCAGCTCATCGAAATGCTCATCGACAGTTGCTGCGAAGTGTTCAAAAGCTTCTGTAACTGTGGACCGCACTGCCGCACCGTCTGGCAAACAGTTTTCTTTCCCCACTTGTCCAATACAGTATATTTTGTTGCTGAATAGACAACCCCTGCAATTGCAGAGAACAATACAGTTTGTAATACTTTGCTCGCACAGCGTCTCCAGGCCGAGTATTTGACTTTTTGATTTGCAGCGTAAGGCTTGCAACGTTGCCTCCTGCGCTTGAATATATCCCAGCAAATCTTGAAAAGATGCAGCCATGGCGCATTAGAATTGGGCCGCGCTGCGGCAACTCCTACCACAACTGCTTGACCTTGTTCGTTTTTATCTTCGCCTGTGCCAGTTGTTTGTTTTGTACCGTTTTCATTTCATCAGCTTTAGATTTTGTCCACAAAGGTCCTGGAACTTTGACATGCTGCAACATGTTGCAAACGAATTGGCCGAAGTCCAATGATGTATGATGTTTATTTCACCATCTCAAGCCGACAAATGGTGCCCAGTGCCCAGTTATACTACGTGTGCAGAAAACACCTAGCACTACATAGTTTACAGCATAGACGAACCACACGTCAAGACGATCCTAGCCAGTCCTCCCCACAAGTCCCATGCAACATTCTTGCAGCCATTGCTAGCCATGTAACCAATGCGTTTTGCAAAGGTTCCAAAACACAACAATGTGCCATGTACCTCATATAACTGATATAACTGCAATGTGCAGGAAATCGCGAAACACATCATTGAAACAGCCATTACAGTGCAGACTACGCCGAAGCCAGCCCGCACCCGCCTCACACAGAAGCCACTTAAGCCTTGCACAAGGCACTTCCCTGTACTACTTCGTACTTCAAGATATGCACAAAACACATCCCAGTACTACTTTGTGGTACAAGACTTTCACAAACCACTTCCCAGTACTACTTCGTACTACAAGACGTTCACAAATTACTTCCAGTACTACTTCGTACTGAAAGACATCCACAAAGCACATCCCAGTACTACTTCGTACTACAAGATATGCACAAAGCACATCCCAGTACTACTTTGTGCTACAAGACGTTCACAAATTACTTCCAGTACTATCCCCGTCTGGTCCTAGCTGCTGAGATTCTTGGGCTCCAGCCCCATTTTTAGCAATTTTCTGGGTATCTCTGACTCAGTCCCAAAATTTAGCCCTTAGGTATCTTGGATGTTGTTGCAAGAATTTCATCTCAAGGATGTTGAGACATTTTGATGTTTAAATTGGCAATTTATACCAGGTCCAGCCCGAAGAATTTTATCCATAGGTATTTTGGGCATCAAAATGAGGCAAAATCAAGATAGATCGAGCCATGAACAGGATAACCAAAAAAATATACAAACATCAAAACCACCAAAACAAAACCAACAAAAAAATGTTGGTATGATGATCATGATAATTTTGACGATGCTTGCAAGACAATGCCAACAATGCCATTACAATGACGAGCTCACGCGCCGACACACCAACATGGCATGGACACGTTAAGCCGAAGAAATTCAGCCAGCCCACCTTCCTTAGATTCACCTTTAGTTTCTGTTTAAGTTTTGATATGTCAATATACCGGCCCTTTTGAATTTCAAACCACGTATGCAAATCTAGTGTCGAACAAAATGTTACATTCAGAAGGTAAGCTTAAACCAAAGGACAGTTTAACCAAAAGAAAAACTATATAGCACATGTTTTCGCATGTTCTTTCAACGAAAAACATGAATTAGCATGCCGAACTTTTGAAAGTTTAACGGTGTATGCAAAAAACTCGTTGCCGAATCCGGCGCCACGGTTCCGGGATAATTTTCTTGAGATTGAGGTGTAATTTGAGGAACGTGGGCTGGCTGAATTTCTTCGGCTTAACATGTCCATGCCATGATGGTGTGTTTGTGCATGAGCTGGCCAGGTGGCTCTCATTGGGGGAGGATGCTTTCAGAGGGTTTGAAGGGAACAGAATAGCTATCAGTTCTTGAACAAGAAACTAGAATTCAACAATCATGTGTTCACAACGTTCAAAAAATGGCAAACGAAATGCAGAAACCATTTGAACCGCTGCAGTCCAAGAGCAGCCCTGGCATGCTCAGTTCAGCAGATTTACGCCACAAAACGAAAATTATATATGATTATTAATGTAAAAAATCATATGTATGTGTCTTTTTGTATATAGTAAAGTGTTTATGTTGTTTTTTGTTTCAGCTCGTGGAACTGCAAATTCATTGGCTCCATAGACCTTGTAACCCTGAGTTTTATCATCTGGGATTTGGCGATGTTGGACGTTTAAGTTGATAATTTTTTAGGCTTGAGCCTGGGTTTTAGCCTTCACCTGGGGGGGATACTGGATGTATGTTTTTGATATTTTTTGATGATCTTGGATGTCAGTCCAGGAATCTTAACCTGATGAAACTGGGGTCTAACCCTGAGGGCCACCCCAGATGGGGATCAGTACTACTTCGTACTGAAAGACATCCACAAAGCACATCCCAGTACTACTTCGTACTACAAGATATGCACAAAGCACATCCCAGTACTACTTTGTGCTACAAGACTTTCACAAAATACTTCCCAGTACTACTTTGTACTACAAGCCTTGCACAAACCACTTCCCAGTACTACTTCGTACTACAAGACATGCACAAAGCACATCCCAGTACTACTTCGTACTACAAGACTTTCACAAAATACTTCCCAGTACTACTTTGTACTACAAGACTTTCACTAAATACTTCCCAGTGCTACTTTGTAATTACTACAAGACTTTCACAAAATACTTCTCAGTGCTACTTTGTAATTACGACAAGACTTTCACAAAATACTTCTCAGTATTACTTTGTACTACAAAGCTTGCACAGAGCGCGTTTTACACAGAAAAACTTTAACACACTGCGAGCTTTACACAAAGAAACTTTTACACAGAGACACTTTACACAGAGACCAGAAAATTCCCTATATATTCCCATGGATATTTCCATTAAATAAGTAATATATTCCCTATTAATATTCCCCAAACATCTTCCAATGACCAGAAAATCCCATGATTTTTCCAATGTTTCCATGAAGCCCCTGTCAGCTCGGCTATGTTTGAGGTACATTGTTGTGGTCTGTACATGGGATGTTGGACATGGTGTACGAAGATCCTCTGCAGGTCGCTGGGCGATCATCAACTCATCTGTTCCAGAAAATCGGGAAAAAATCTATGGGGAATCATCCCTAAATGGGAGGCCCTATATAATTCAGGTGAATTATGATAGTTTACGCCCATTTTTTTTGGATGATGATCTCATTTTGTGAAAAAAGATATGAACAAATGGAGTAATCCATCGTCAAGCATTGACATGGTTGCTTGAAATTTGAGGATACGATTCATGTTCCTGGTTAGGGAATATCATTCAACAATGGGAATGATGATCTAATGGTATGTAACTATTGAAAATGGCACATTTATAGTGGATTTACCCATTGAAAATGGTGGATCTTTCCATAGTTATGTTAAATTACCAGAGGGTAATGGTATCTAATGGATCTTTTTATGACTGAATTGCAATTCAATGATGATACCTTACGAAATTATCATGTAGTTGCCCTGAATATGATCGAAGGGGGCATTCAACAAAATGGGAGACTGATACGATATGATCGAAGCACGTCAACACAATGAACATGGGATACTTTCACCATTTGTAGAAGGGCAACTGACAGTATTCTCGGCTCGAAATGTGTGTTATTTGCAGATTGACATCGGCAGAAATGATCTCAACCATTCCTTCAGGAATCCTAGGGAGTGATATCAGTTAACCATGTCACAATCAATTTCTATTCATTGCATAGCCTTGCAGTACGTGATGCCCCCACCATAGCTTCAATGGGCATTCAAAAAGCCGGGTGCCACCATGCAAAAGGTGGGGTATAGCGATATGATTATTATCCCCTTGTTAAGGTTTTTTGGGCAATAGGTTGGGTATGTAATATGTAATGAGTAGGACAATACATGTTGGGTATACGGACATACCACACTTCTTACACTGCACCTCCAGGTTGGGTAAACATTTGGCATTTTGAAGGCGGGAATGTCTGGGTGTACGCAATTTTTTTTTACTATCAAATCTTGAGACCTCCGTACTTTTCACCCAAGTAGTTTCAAGGTAGTTTCAACATCGAAATCTTGGCTTTGGCCACGAAGTTTCGGACACATCGGACACCTTTCATTGCCTCGGACAGCGAAGAGCCGAGGCGATGAATTTGGACTCATATCTCTTCGGGCCTGCATGCTCGAGCGGCGGCGGGCCGGTGCTGAAGTTCTTAGTCCGTGCCATGAAAGAAAGGGATGGTGTGATGAGATGGTTTAAATATCTTTAAATATCTTTAAATGTACCCGAAATTAGATATGATTTAACAATCACATATGTGGAAACATGGAATTTTTCCAGCACACCTTTTTTTGGAGAATTCGGTTTTTTTCGGCAACTGGGCTGCCCAAACATTGGGATTTTAGGTAAATAATCCACGATGTCAGATTTGGGGGATTTGAATTGAGGAAAAAAGCAACCAGTGGCAGGGAAATTTCTCATCAGCAAATGATGGTTGAATTTTTATGGGAATGAACAACTGGGTTGGAGCTTGGGTTAACAGAATAGCAGTGGATTCCGTGAAGGTTGATGGGGCTTGCTTAGAGGCTTAGTTCCTGCTTGGAAATGAGGAAAACGTGAACACGTTTTGTCTCATATTGGAGGATTTACCATCAAAAGCTGGGAACATGAGGCTAAAAAACCATTCGATTTTGGGGTATTATATCTTCACTCAAAGCCATATCAACCCTAGTGAAATGGTTGCACATATACACATATTTGGATGTTTGGTAGAAGTTGTGTCACGAGGGGAAAAGGTTGAGATGGGGAGGAAACAGCTGGAAATCAGTGGGGATGCAACCACTGAGTGCCACACATGTCAACTAACGGAGGGTCTGCTGTGCTGACAATGGATCCCTGGAGAATTTTTGCTTTGTGCCTTTTTTTGTTTGGCCGGCCCGTTTTTTTGTTTGCCCAAAAACGGCGGGATACCCCAAAATAGCTGGTAAACAATGAAGAACATGATGATAAACCAGATTTCATGGGGCACAACATATTCTCATAGCATCAGTCGGTGACTGGTGCACCCTTCATTCCATCCGCAATCCGCCCAGGTTGGTTGACCTTTTCAGGCTTCAGATCCCTAGCGATACCCCGAACACATGGGAACTTTGTCCCAAGATGGGAAACCCGCAAAAACCCGAGATTCTTTTAGATTGCTGAACACGTTTTTTTTTTTTTAAAGTGGCCCTGCCGCAAATTCAAAAAAGATGTTTTTTTTTAATGATTTCAAAAAACAGGAAAAGTTCATTTTCCGGGGTTTGGAAAACCAAAAACAACTATTTTTGGATGATTTGGAAAGATGTTTTTGTTTTTTTTTTTCATACGCCGCAAGCGCGAAACAAATATCATTGAAAAACACAATATTTTTTGAATCAAACAACATCGAAAACCATGAAATAACATCATTTTTTGCAATTTGAACACGCATTTTGTTTTTTGGGTTTTGCAAACGCAACAAGTTGATTTTTTGAAGTTTCGAACATGCAAAACAATGATTTTTTAAGATTCTGAAAAACGCCAAACATTGTTTTTGTTTTTTTCTTCACTTTTTGAACCGCAAAACATGGGTTTCTCATTCATTTATCATTCAAACACAATCCATTATTCATAACTATTGATATATCCGTTGTAGTAGGTGGTTCATCATCCGTTGATAGACAATCATGATAACTATTGATAATATTTCATGGATAATTATATAATTATCCTATATATATATCGAACCTAGATAACTATTATTGATAGATACATTAATCATTCATGGACACATTATTTTTTTCTATGATTATATAATAGATGATCCGTGATGAACATCCACAGAAATTATCAATATTCACTATGAATATCCATGACACATTCATTATCCATTATGTTTCTTCATCCATTAGCCAGCGAGCCTCATAGCATTAACGTTCCTGAATCTTAATGGATAATCACCAATGGTTGTCATATAATGGATATTCAGGAAAGATGATGAAATATTCATATTGATAAACGACGAGTTTTTTTTTTAATTTTAATCTTAGTTAACTCATATGTATGAGATTATTTAATAATTATTTATTAAAGATCCATGAGATCATACTTAACTCATTAAGATTATCAATATTAAAGGTTATTCATAAATAATATCCATTAACCATTCATATTGATTGATCATCCATGATTATCCATCATATTGATCTTATCATAAGAATATCAATAAGATCAATGATAAGATTGATCATCCATTCACCACTCCATCCATTCACTTCCCCAGGTGCCCTTCGCTTGACCCTCGGTCTGGGGGTGGTGGTGCCTGTGATCCATGCGATCTATGTCCTAAAGTCCGAGGCGCTTTCCGGGGGAGGAAGGCGAAACGGAAACGTCATTTTGTACATGGAAATGGCCCATTTTTGTCGATGATTTTGCCATGATTTACCTTGGAATTTCGCCATGGACATCTCCATATTTTAATGGGAAAATCACAGTTGATGGTCGTTTTCATACGGAAAACGCGTTCTAAACCCTATGCTTTTTAATTTTCTCCTGGTTTATTTTTGGGAGACACAACCATAGATATAAGTAAAGAATTATATCATCATTTATCTACAAAATGGGATATGATGGGTCTCTACATTGATAGTGGGTGCGGCATGATGCGGGATATTCTGGTCTACTGATGTATAATATTCTGATTTTTCTGACTCATCCGAACAAAAGATCCACACGTTCAACAGGAACATCATCTACCTATTTAGCGCATCAATTGATGTAGAAATGGGGGTCTTTATCAGTCTGGGGCCCCAAAAAACCCTTGACTCACATGAGTTTGTGCAACATTTTGGGGTGATATCCTAGAAGTAGAAATGGGGGGAACATTTTCTGATCAACCGCTGGAAATGGGTAGCATATTTTTGGACCCCACAGAAATGATCAATGATGGTTGGATGCTGGGTCAAACCCAGCAATGGAAAGAAAACCGGCTTCGGCATAGCAACTGGAGATCAATGGGAGATCGGCCGCCAAGCTCATCCCATCTATAGATATCTATAGATCATTGCAAGGAGGGGGACTTGGAGCAGACACGGATGATAAGCTTTGGTTCTTAGCGCCGATCATACCATAGGTTGAGAAGAATTCAACGGTTCTACTGAGTCATACTGACTCGAATTTCCAGGTTTTGACTGAAAGCCTTTGGTTGAGGCCCCCTTCCTTTGATCTTCTCTCTACTGCATCTATCTATAAATCCAGGAATCTATCTATCAATTTATCTATGAATGCATTACATTGCACTGAATTGCACTGCATGAAATATGAAATAGTACAAAGTACACATGACACATGGCGTTCGTCCATTAGTCCATCTGTCCATCCGTCCATCCGTCCATCCATCCATCCACCCATCAACCCATCCCTCCATCCATCCATACATCGATACATGCATGCATGCATACATCCATGCATACATACACGCATACACACATACACACATACACACGTACAGGCATGCATGCATGCATACATATACACATACACACGTACAGGCATGCATCTACACACATACGCACATACACACATACACACATACACACATACATACGTACGTACGTACGTACCTACCTACCTACCTACATACGTACATACGTACATACGTACATACGTACATACGTACATACGTACATACGTACATACGTACGTACGTACATACGTACATACATACGTACGTACGTACGTACGTACATACGTACATACGTACATACGTACATACGTACATACGTACATACGTACATACGTACATACATACATGCATGCATACATACATACATACATACATAAATAACACATGTTAACACTTAGCATGAAATCCAAATTATCAGCTTACCCGCACTTTGGAATCCACCTTTTGTTGGGTTCCGCCTTATATTGTTCCCCCATCCAATGACTACCAGGTGTATCACTTTGACTACATCACGAACGCAGTTCCTTGTCTGGGAGCTAGCTCCTGCAGATGGGGAAATCATCGATGGCCAGAAGTTCTGCTGTTAGATCATATGTAGGTTGACTAACATAGAACTAGAGGGGCCTATCATATTGATCTAGTGTTGACTAACATAGGTTAAGCAATAACTATATTGATAGGTTATGCAATATGTACAGGTCAATGTCAGTAGTTATTGAACATCCGACTGTGCCAAGTTTGACTCTGCTAATCTGTCATCAATGCGAACCAGATGCTCAAAACTCCTTTGCCCCGGATTAAAAGATCAACAGTTTCTATGCAGCCGTCCCCACAATATTCATCAATATAACTCCCTACTTTTTTCTCCAATGACGGTGGTTTGCTAAAATGAGATCCAATATCGTTGCTGGTGTTTGTGAAGATCACCAAGACTACGAACTGATGGAACCTTCCACAGAAAATCCATGAGATCCAATACTCAACAAATGTGGAGGGAACTCAACAAATGCTCACAATGATCAGATCTGGGATCCTCACTGATCTGGGAAAAGCCCAGCTGGAAGGGTCCAAATTTCCCCATTTTTTTTTTTGGGAAAAACTGGTCTGTTTCTTCGGGATTTTCTGGTCCAGAGGCCTCGAATTTCCAACAGCCTCTTGTAGTTTGTAGCTTCACTGAAATGTGCTGGAATCTGCTTGTGATGCACATCTTTTTGCTGGTTTTTTGACCGTTTTTCGTGCTTCTAGCTTATAACCTGTGTAACCTATGCCCGATGTCCCCTGTGGCAGTCTAATATGGTAACACCGAATATGGTAATGCCAACGAATTGCACATTTTCATATGTAAATCATCTAGAAATTGTGAAGTGTCCATTGCGACATTTGACGTCTCTTTTGTTGTGTGAGGAATAGGTGAATGGCTCGCACATGTGGTCATTAAACTGGTCCCCTGTTTTCTTTTGACAATTTCCACCATAGCCGCCATAGCCTCCTTCATCTCGGTTTCTGGTTGCCACATCCGCAAGTTGCCATATTGTTTGTAGCTTTTTAGCTTGATCAATCCTGCTTTCCATGATCCTAAGGCTTGTCGCTTAAAGTCACCATTGTCGTTGGGTAGTTGGATTGACCCCCTTCAATGGTTTCCAGTAGAGCAGTGTTAAACAAAAACCCTTTGTCATCACTTTATACTGCCTGATCAATAGGGATTCCGGCAATGGATTGACAATCCACCACAATTATGTTGGGTCGTTTTTTCTCCCACATCATCAACAGGGGTTTTGAACACTGCTCAATAGTCAATATACTTGGTGATGTAGGATTATAGCATGGTATACCCTTCTTGGTTGCTGTGCTATCCGTTTTGGTTGCTCAATTGAGGTCGTTCAATCTCCATTTTGGTGAAGTGAGACGTGCTTTTTGTTTTTCCAAAATGGATCTGTTGTTCGCCTCAGTTGGTTGAGCTCCTGTCACTCAATGTTTGTTGGCGAACCTCCCATTATATACATATGTATACATATCTATCTATCTATATATATATGTATAATACGATAGTAAGACCCAAAGAGATAGAAAAGTAATTCATCGCCTTTTTTAGGGGAATTTTCCTTATTTTTTCCAGGGAGATAGCATCATCATCTTTTAAAATTTGGGTGGTGCCAAAAACATGGCTGGAAAATCCACCATTTTTTGGCTTCACCAAACAAGGTCCGACGGAGACTCAACATGATCTGCTGAAGCCCCGAAAGGTGTACCCCTGGGCCGACAAGAGGGTTGGTAAGGCGGTACCGATATGATCGTTTTCTGGTTGTGCCGAAGAGGCGGGAAGCGCTTTCATCGCCTTTGGTGGCAATGTGTGGCTCGGCTAAGACGAGCGGCGATAAACATCACAACGGGGAGTTCACAGGCGAACATGGCAGGCTTGTACGTGAAGCATCTTGAACGATACATAGTTGATGTATGTTGATTTGAAGCTTATCTGACAAATTGGATGGCTTAAGGATCATAAAGGACCCTTCAGCTACATTCTTTTTGAGTCCAAATTTGGCTCCCATTCCAACTTTCAAAGTTGCTCCTGCGTTGAGATCAGGATTCGTGAGGGAGTCGTTAGAAAAAACCATGGTGGGTTTAACTGGGTTCCAAGAGAGATTTCAACAGGTGTCACATGCTTAAACCCACCATCTACTAGAACTAAAAGATAGGTGTCACCAGAACTACCATAACTATGTGCCACATGTCACATGTAACAGATGGGTGTCACATCCAATCTCAGAGTTGATCCCACTGGTGAAGCTAATCCTGGATCTATGGCACTATAAATTGGTGTATTCGAAAAACACTTATGAACAATTATGAAACATATATCATTGAAACATATTGAAACATATTTTCAGCCAAGTTCCAAGACTTACACTTTTAATCATGATCCGATGACCTCCCCTCTTCATATGTTTTATTTCAGCTCCTGTAAAAAAATAAGAAGGCCTGTGTCACAGAGAATTCGGGATCATCTCCTCCTACTCGATGGCGATGGCCCAGGATGAATAGCTGTATGTTGCCCTTCCTTTGCTTACCTCATCCCAACGGACTTTCTTCGGTGCACCAGTTCGACGCGCCTTGGAAGGGTCGATCAGAGACTTTGAGGGTCATCAAAAACGACATGAGAAACCCTCCATTGGTATTGTGGCCAATGGGGGGCTCACTCAATTTCTGCAAGTTTGTGGCAGATATATAGATCTGAAATGATCTGGATGTAGGTTTCTCTCACTCAGCTGGGGATAGAAGAAGACCATACAATCATTTGTGCGACCGAAACAAGGAGGTAGCTGGGTAGCAGCAGTCCCTTCATTTTTCAGATCACCGAGGCGGTTCTGTGTGATGACAATCAAGCGTATCGTGTATTGGTTTTTCTAGGCACGGAAACTCACTGGGCGGGATGGAGTTTTGATGCCGCGGTGTGTTGGTGAAAGTTCTGCACAACTGCCATGGCTTTTTGATTTCAACCTCCAAGACTTGAGATTTTCCCCATCCAATGCCCCAGTTATTTGAATCCAAATCTCAACAACCTCTCCGTACATTTTGGATGGCGATTTTTGGCCGGCAGAATTGCGGAAGATTTCAGCTGACAAGACTTAAGCTTTTTTTTCACAGTCAAGGATGGAGAATTCAGTGTCAATATTATCATATATTAATAATATATTCTATTATTTAGGGGTTTTGAGCAACTGATACACTTGATATGAACGATGGCCGTTTCATGGTTTTTATGATGGCCGCAACCCGGTGTGGTTAACCGTTACCCGGACCGAGATTGGTTGACGACGTCCCGTTTGAGTTTCTGTCTTGAATCCGCTAATATGTTCGTAGATTGGATTATATGATATTATATGTCCGTATTTTTCCGCAAATTCCCCAAGCCAAAGCCTGTTTCTGTTGATGAAATCACCATTTTTTGTTGGTTTCCACCCTCAACATGGTTTCTGCTCGTGATGTTTCTATTTAGATGGCTATTCCCAAACTATATGGGGATATTCCCTTTAGCCCTGCCCCCGGAAACATAGGCCTCAAAAAATGGTAGGTAGCTCCGAAGAAAGGTGAGTCATGGCCGCTAACCACATCCACCAGGCTACCTGCTAATGCTCATACCCATTGGCTTCGTTTGCTTGTGTAGCTGGGGCTGCAGGGGTGGAAGACATGGGTATCAAAAAGGTCGAACTACCGTATAACTATAGGGGTATATAATCCCCATAAGTTGGATATAATTATATATAATTCCTTTAAGTGTGGTTATGTATCGGTTTATAAGTGGAACCTTGTAACCTTGAGATTTTGGGCGAACAGCAGGTCTGTCTGAAAATGGCCTTAAATGAAATCTTGGGGACATCACCAAGTAGACTTGGGGCTCTTCAGCGACATAAATGGGGACAGAAAATGAAGGCAAAATCGGGAGTTACATCAACAAAAATAGGAATCACTGATCACAAAAACCAAACATAGAGAGATCCCAAAAAAAGAGTAGATTCCAGTGATTCCAGTACGCAACTTCAAAAAAAATCCATCATCATTTTCCAATTCTTGTTGCTGATTTTTCTCATAGAATTCGATGGGAACATTTTACCCGGAACCTCCAAGCAATTTGATGGTCAAAACCCATGGGTTTCCGGTGACGATTTTCCCAACAATTAACCAATCCATTGGTGAAGTCCTGAGCCGCGCTGCATACCCCGGGGATCATCATCCAATGGTCAGTTACATCTGATGGAGGTGATTTTTTTGGTCATTTATCCCATGAAATATATTAACATCATTTAATAAATACTATATATATATATGTAGAATCATACTATTCCAACAATTTCTATTGACTTCTTATGTTTTCTGCCAACATTTTTCGTTTGTTCGGTCCGTCCAAGTCGCGCTGCACGCGAACGGTCTGAGGCTTCTGGTTACTCTTCTGGGAACTGCCTCAGCGTGTGCTGCGAGGAGACATGAGGTGCGACAGGGGGGCGAAACCAAGAGATAATCATATATCTGGTTATAACTATACTATACTATATATATAGTGAATAACATTGAATAACTATATTTGGTTATAATATATTAGTGAATAACATTGAATAACTATAATATTATCTAACACACACATATATATATATATAATTAGTATAGTTAGTATATAACATTGAATAACTATACTAATTATATATATATATATCTGGTTGGTGGTGACTGGAACATGGCTGGATTATTTTTCCCATATATTGAGAATAATAATGCAAACTGACCAATATTTTTCAGAGGGGTAGGTCAACCACCAACCAGATATGTATACACAGCCTCTGGTAATCAAACGTGGCAACGGGAAATGACCTACAAATGGAGGTTTTTGGGGAGTGTTCCATTCCTATGTTTGATTAACGGAGGGTATGTATATAGCAGCGCCAAAAGATAGAACAAGAAATTATTACTGTTTCAGTAGGAATTTACTTTGAATCTTTTTGGTAGTTACTATATTTATTTATTTGGTGAGGTAAACTAAACCATATCACTATACCAGTATATATATATAATCATGTGTTTTAATTTCAATAGGATGTAATTGCTTATTTTCAGTAGAAATATCCTGGCTAATTAATATAGATTCCAGATCTAGTATCCGGCACTTCTTTATTTGTTTTTGCGTGAGACATCATGCAGCTAAAATCAACATATACATATGTGTGTGTCTTGTGCGGGGTGAACCATCGCCTTGAATGTATTTTTTCACCTGCCCAGATATCATTCAACCAGGACAGGGATTTCAAAAGGTTCTGCCTTTGAACATGGGGATTGAAACCCAAAGTCATAGGCACTGAAGCAAATGGCAAGATCTATGTTCAGCCAATGAGGACGATGGTCAGCGTGTTAGATTTTGTCATATATGCATTCATATTCGCCCATACATCCACATTCTTATGGCTCCATGACTTTTCCTTTTCCGCACTAAAAATTGGAGGTTTCAAAAAACTGGGGGATTTTTTTGCACATTTTTGATCTTCAAAGATCAAGGGTTCACATGGCTGGCGATCGCGGGTGAACATCCCAAAAGGATGATTTCTGTTCCCCACAATGATGAACTGGCTGGGCGAGGGTTTTTGCATGGAACCGAAAAGTGGGTTGATTTTTGTTTCTGATTTTCAATATATAGTTGGTTAGAATAGGTAAATATGGAAATGGTACAGTACTATAAGTACTATAAGTATAAGATGGGTTCCACTTTATCCATTTTCGGACCATCAACCCCATCAACCTGCACGATTCACTATTGGCCGATTCAGCCAATCCCCAGCCATCGAGAGATGACTCTCCACTATCGATGGTTTAGAGCCGCCTTTAAGCCCTCATCTACTGTAATTCGTTTTTTAGTTTTGAACTATTTACTTGGTGGTTTTGAAGTATCTTTATTGAACAAGTAACTGTTTTGAACAGCCCATAAACCAAGTTGGTGGTTTTGAAGTATCTTTATTTTCAACCACATGGGATGACGATCCCAATTGACGAATATATGCATATCAGGGGATTGTGAAACCAACCGGTCATGTTATTCAGATAGGAATGAACATAGCCAAGATAATCCCATTATCAACCACAAACCAACATCTATAAACCAACATCTATTTTTTCCATGAAATCTCCATAGAAAAATCCCATGATTCGGGGTCCAACCCGGGCTCCAACCGGGGTCCAGTGAGGTTCGTTCGCTGTTGCAATTTCTTGCTGTGCAACTTCCGACCTGGAGCGGAGAAGCCCGTGGCGCCTTGGACTTCGCTGAGTTCGACTTGGTTGGAAGATGAGGGGCGGGCAGGGGTTCACCACGGAAAAAAAGTGGGTGATTTTTGATCCAATAACTATGGTTTATAGGTGATATATCTATAGTTAATGGGATTGTGATTGAACTATGGTTTCAACATGTGTTCACTTACCAAGGGGGAAATTGATCCCCAAGCTTGAAGGGCTTGGGGTAGTTGAGTCCTTGCGTTCAAACTTGCTAACAACAACATACAATAACCATAAAAAGAAAACGATTACATGTTTTTTCGTGGACTACCAAAGATTGACCCTGGTATTATTGTAGAAGGGGGCTTACTATGAAAAATACTATGGCCCCTCATGGGGGAGTGATTTTTGCTCTAAAAATGGTCGAAAATACTGGTATTTACAGTGTTTTGTGACCAAAGTGGGCTTAAAACCGTTATTTTAGAGCAAAAAATAGAGTTCACAGTTCACCTCCAAAGGCTCTCACATGCTGTCATAAATCACTGGCATCTACAGACTCTTGTGGCAGGATTCAATTTTTCATTAGCCTTAACATCAGGCATACACCGTTTCTGGACAAACCACCATTCTTTGTTAAATTATATTATATCCCACTGAATCATCATGTAATCCCCCAAGACGATAGAACAATAAAAGCCGACAAACAAATAGTCATCAATCACTTTTCGGCATCTTTGTTGTACATATATATATGTATATATATATATATAATTTTTTACATATACATGCTTATGGGTCAAAAGCCTGGTACCTATCTATGGTAGCCTAAGTCATGGTATTTATGGATGCTTATTCCCCTCATATGATTCCCATCTCCTTGATGAGGCGATGTTTTTGTGCCGTGGCGTCGTGGCAGCCTTGGTGCCCTTCATTCCCTCCACGGCGGGGAAGGCGGCTTCAGCTCTTGGGATTTTCATGGGATTCGGTTTTGGCTTTCGGTGTTGGGATGATGGATCAAAAAGCTAATGACAAGCAGATCAGCATAGGGTATGCAGCCGGTGAACAAAAGTGAGCATGATACACTTTGGTCGCAATGAGAATGAAGGTCAAAAGTAAGTGAACATATGTGAACATGGTTAAATAATGTTAAATATCACCCTTAGTGAAGATGCCACACATTGAAACACTGGTGATTCTCGGGCTGGTGTGCCACTGGTCGCTTGGACGAAACATGTTGCTGGTGTGCTCAATCCGTCAAGATGACCCGTTGGGATGCCACAAAAGGGTCAGTTGTTGGGTGCCAGAAGGAAGTGACCCACGGTGAGGCCAATTTGCTGGTGCTATTTTGTTTACCATTTATTTGGTATGATGATGATGATGATGATGGGTATATATATAATGGTGATTAACAAACAACAGTGGTAAATAATAATGGTAGTGATGATGATGATGATGATGATGAGGTTGGCCCGAAACCTGGATCGCAACAGGTTTGCTTTATGAACATCGTGCTCTTTTTCAGTTTATTCGTCGTTGCTTTGGGCCAACCCTCGAGAAGTTCAGTCTGTTCCTCGGCCCAAGAGTCGCATGCGGCGACGCTGCCTAAAACAAATGTCCTAGAAAGATCAGTTGGTTTATATCTAAGCTAAGCCTTACTAAGCCTTACTAAACATGGTTTATGGTGGGTATCTAGTGGGGATGTCTATATACATTTGCAACTGGCCCAGGATCGCTTGGGGGAAGTTGTTCGATATAATCCACCGTCCACAGGGGTGAAGTGGCAGTTGAAATTGAGAAATGATATGGGTGTGTCTGAAAATGGGCTATTTTGTGAGGTAAATTATGATGAACCATGGATTTAAAAAGGGTTTTCCCTTCATTTTTCAGGTACCAAAGCCATATTGATCTTAGTGCCAGATCATTGGCCCCTTCGTTGTCCCAGGCAATACCTTGGATCTGGCTTTGCTGGGTGGGCCGCTGAGCGAAATGGCTTTGCGGGCCTCGTTCTGGGGCTTTGTTGCGGCCAAAATGTTTCAGAAACATTGGGACTGCACAGGCTTGCCACACACTTAACATGGTTTAACTAACGACAAAATTTGGCCCCAATAGAATCAAGACATCAAAAGAAGCATTTGTTTGTTCACCAATAAGCAATGCCATCATGGGTGAAAAACGAGAACACATCATCGACAAACCTGAAGAATTAGCTGTCAATGGAAATTTATACATGTATGTACACATACGATATACATAGATATATACACGATAATACATGTATGATATGTATATATATATATACACATACATATACATATTAATATACATATTCATATTCATAACACCAGTGAATATGGACACATCACCCGTGATGGATACAACTTGACATGACCTTTTTTCTTTGTTCGCATCTTCCAGATGCTTCGACTTGGTCAACTGTTGGGTACCCTCTGGTTATGTCACCACATGGCTGGAAAATCGCACAGAAATAGCCTCTGGTTATGTCAAAATAGCTATTGAACATGGCCATCTATAGTGGATTTACCCGGATTTACCCATTAAACATGGTGATTTTCCAGTTCGTTATGTAAACGTTTACCAGAGGGTAGATTGATGGACTATAACACATAGCAGACATAGAGGGCTACCCTGTGGTTATTTAACGTAGCTATGGGAAATCACCATTTTTAATCAGTAAATCATATTAAATCATCATAAATGATCTATAAATGGGCCATTTTCCAGTTCGCTATGTTAGATAACCAGCTGGGCCGTTGATGATTTTTTCAATGTCTGTTTTTCCAAAAATCCAGCTGGGCTGGGCCACCTGCGCCACCTGGGCCCTCTTTAGGATGTTGATGCTGTTGGACCTCGGCTCTTATCTCATTCCAGATCCTCGGCCATGGCGATGATCGGCTGGGATTTTCTCCATGGAGTCCTGAAAAGATTCACCATTTCAATCCATGGGAAACTCAGTCTTACTGGTGCGTTTTACGGTTCGGGAATTTCCGGGAATGATCCACTGGCTAACTATCAATAATCATCCCAGCAACTACCCTCTGGTCATTTAACATAGCTATTGAAAATTGCCATTTATAGTGAGTTTTCCCATTAAAAATGGTGATTTTCCATAGTTATGTTAGTTTACCAGAGGGTATCAATAATCATCCCATTCCCTGCGTAAAACGCACCAGTAAGCAGTTGCGTCCTAATGAACTCATCACTGAACCATTCCCGTCTGACTGGATCCCCACCTTGGGAGGTGGGAATCACAACTTGGGACGAGAGAACTGCGTGGGTAGGGAGCAAAACCATTCTTGAGCCATGTAGCCCACATTTTGTTGAAAGCCACAACATGATTTCAGGAACAGATTGTCATGATCTAATCTACATATTAATTATCCTAACATGAACCGTTCGACGAATCTTCATCGAACTTCACATTGCAAGGAAGACTCCGAAGACCCATCTGCGAAATCCACGAGTTGAAAATGGTGATTTTTACATCGGATCAAAATCGATCCAGGAACTGGAGATTCACACCCTGGTGTACGTCTGCATGGTCGCTGCCTGCCTAATGGTCCTGGCCACTATCGGTACGGTGATCGTGAGCGTCGTGAGGCAAGGGCGGCAAGGGCGGCAAGGTCTCGCTGTGACCTCCAGTGATGCTTTATAGATTCTACATGATTCTACCATATGCATATACAATCACATATATATATATAGGTTTATATAGGTCTTATCTGATATACGTGTGTACATGTACATGTAAATATGTAAGCATGCAAACGAAACTATGTAAATATGTAAATATGTAAATGTGTAAATATGTAAATATATAAATATGTAAATATGTAAACACGTAAACATGTAAATATGTATATGTATATTGAGATACACAAACCAGTCAAACTTTACGACCAAGGACAATGCCGATGGACTAGTTACTTCCCATTTCAACCAGTACCTGGTTTTGACCCAGATCCTTAAAGCCTTCTGGCGAAACTAGCTCAAAATGGGCAAAACTTGGTATGATTTGGAAAGTAAGGAAGACGTTGCGACACAACGTTAAGCTTTTTTTGGGCTATGAAAATTAATGTGGGCCCTATGTCCGTCACTCTCCATGAGAAAGCGCAGCCATTTTTGGTGGTTGACCCCAATAGATCAACAATGGCAAGCCCACTGCCCTTTTAGAGTGGAGCAAGCAACAATGTGAGTAGCCTCTGGTCATTTGCTACAGTTTGCTATTGAACATGGCCATAGAAATAGTTGATTTAGCGTTTGCGAACTTGCCAACGGCCATAGGAACAGTTTCCCAGAGGCTAATCCCAGAGCTCCAGGGACGACTGCCATCGCAGGTTCGCAATGCTCCAGAGCAACAAGCCTTACAGGAGACTTGTCCCGGTTCTGGATGTTCACGCTGAAAAAGGGTGAGGACTTGGCATGGTGATGTTATAAAACTGAAAAGAGTGAGTTATAACGAATTATATATATATACACATAATTATATATATATATATATATGTAGAAATATATGTGTATATATATATATGTATATAAATATATATGTGTATATATATATATATATGTACATCTATATGTACATGTATTGTCGTCAACGAGACATGGGGATACCTGGCCCAGCTTGAGTTTTTTCATAAGAGCTTGATCATCATGACGTTCGAGTTTGTAGTATAGAAGGGAGAACCATCAGGTTCATCATTAGCCTCATGACACTGGTGGCCCGCGTAGGTGACTGAGGGGAAACTGTCTAAGAAACGAATTTGGGCATCTATTATCTCTAATTCTTTTCACAGCGTTCTAACCAGTAGAGTTGCTTTTTATACTGGTTGGTGGTTTGGAACATGAATTTTATTTTCCCATATTGGGAATAATAATCCTAACTGACTACCATCTGGTTATTTGACATAGCCATGGAAAATCACCATTTTTAATAGGTACATAAACCATCTATAATGGGCCATTTCCCATGGCTATGTTAAATAGCCAGAGGGTAATATTTTTCAGAGGGGTAGGTCAACCACCAACCAGAAAGTTAATTAGTTAGGTAATAATGGATGATCATTGGGAGGTATATGGGATCTGGGTAAATGATAGCGACCTCACTGCGACCTCACTGGAATCATGGTTAATAAGAGGAATCATCCCCAAATGGCCTTAATTCAGGTTAGTGAAATATTGTAATTTACCCAGATATATACTAATGTTAACGTAGGTAATCATGGATGATCATTGGTCAACCACCAACCATCATCCAACCATCATGCGCCCATCAGATGCTGAAAGTTTCCCAGAAAACTGGCCTGGCTGCCAGGACTTTTTGGCAGAACATACGGCGAGTATTTTTTGCGACGTCATAATGGGTCATACTCCACAATATATATATATACGTATATACATATAATACGTATATAAATAGTTATATATATATACATAAAATGTGATATAATGTAATATAATATACTACAATATAAATATAATATGTATGTATATATATATATGTATTATACGGGTATATTTATCCTCATTGCAATATTCATCGTTTTTCAATTCCAGGTCAAAACACAATTTTTTCGTGGCTTGCTTGGCCACAATGGTTCAAGGATCTACATCTCCTATCACCACACGGCCACCGGATGCTACGCGCGGATGTTGAAGATGTATTTAGACAAGCATGGTGCCTTGACGGACCGGACCTGCCGGACCTGCTGATTGGTCGAAGTTCGAAAGCTTGGAATATTGGAGGAATATTGGAGAATCGTGGGAGAAATATTGGAGAAATAATAATGATGATGAGGACTGTCATCATGTTTGATTATTGTTACTAAACCAAAAACACACTTGATGCGTTAGTGTGATTACAGTGCCGCATCCGACAAATCATCGCCATCAACGGATTTCCTATCCATTTACATCCATCCAACAGAAATGGGGTTGTTTGAAAGTAAGGCACCTCAAAATCAAATAGTTTATTATCATGCTCCCATTTAAAAGGTCTATTCTGGGGTTCAGGCCATTTTCAGACAGACTCAACTATCTTCTTCTTGGTTATATGTATCCCATTGCCCCATTGCATCCCCATCAAATCATCATCTGTTGATGAAATGCCCTTAAATCAGCCCTTTTGTGAGTTCTATACCCATATATCATCAGAGTTTCCCCTTAAATCCCCTTGAAATCCCATTCAAATCACCCTCAAATCACGAATTCGCATGGTTATAAAAAATCCAATGCTATATCTCTACAATATATATATATATACACATAACATAACATAACACAACACAACACTACACTACACAACACTACACAACACAACACTACACAACACAACACAACACTACACTACACAACACTACACTACACAACACAACACTACACTACACAACACAACACTACACTACACTACACAACACAACACAACACTACACTACACAACACAACACAACACTACACTACACAACACAACACAACACTACACTACACAACACAACACAACACTACACAACACTACACTACACAACACAACACAACACTACACTACACTACAGAACATACATCACATACAGATTATACATAACATACATAACATTACATACTATGAATCAACGATTTTTTACGATGAATCCACCTTTCCCCCCGGCACTTCATAGGCATCAAGTCCTTCCAAGACGACGCGGCGCAGCGTCTACAGGACTTGCTCCAGGTGGTGAGTCAAGACACGGCACCTTGGAGATTTTCCCATGGGAAAAGATGGGATTCCCATGGGGATTCCCATGGGAACATCATAATGAAACATGGTTAATGATGGTTAATGATGGTTAATGATGGTTAATGATGGTTAATATTAATGATATATGGAAAATGATCTTTTCAGATTTATGGAGGTTTGTTTTTGGGAAATCAGGAAATCCCCACTAGCCATGGTGGTTTTCTGGTGGTTTTCATTGCAAAGTCATGGGAAAGTCATGGCGGATTTTCCAAGGACACATCAATGGTTTGAGGACACCCGCTCGGGTAGCAATGCAATGCACATCTGAGAAACCATCCTTGTTGGTGAACATAAAACCATGAAATATCCATGAAATATCACTCATCAATCACCACGAATATTTGTTTTTTTGCTAATATAACATTGATAATGGCATATTTTCTGGGGAGATATGCCAACTTATAGCATGAATAGAATTCATGGTGTCCCATCAACTCATTGGTTAATACTCACTGATTTTCGCTTTGTCTGAAGCCCCAACTCCGTTGATCACCATTATCCCTCTTCAACTGCCTAAGAATTTTGGGACAATACCTCATTTTGAGACACACCCATGGATACTATACCCAATTAACATATACTATAAACTATCAATATGAACAGTGAGGTCTATCATATGATACCTCAATGATATACAACACTATATGATCAACATATTAACACATAGGTATATTACCGTATTAACACTATACTATACACTGGGGTATATTATCATATGAACAGTACACCCATGAATATATCCCATGAATAGTAATGATCTCTAGTATATATGGAATTGATGTATCCCGTCAATATTCATTAGGTATAGTATCTTCATGGTATTAACTATATTACTGTAACACTACACTATACTATTGATATATCCCATTGTCCCATCATCCCATTATCATTATTGTTGATGCACAGTAGTACCACATGTATATATCCTTTTCACCTCATATACTGTTGCGTGCGTGGCTCAAGAAACATGCTTTGCAGGGTGTACTAGGTTTGTGGCTTATCCCGGTTTCTAGCTTGTTTCTACAGGTTATCAGCCGTATCGCCAAGCGATCGCTGGTTTCCTTTGTTTCACACTTGTCGTTCTTTCTCCGTAGTTTTCGCAATGTCCACTCCCCCTGCGCTTCCTGCCCCGGGCGGGAACGCCTCGGCTGCATTGGCTTTGGCGACAACTACACAACCGGAGGAAGTGGTAATCCATTCAGGCGCGGCTACGACAACAGAAGGGGACATGAGTTATCTGGATGAAGAGTTTGACCCATGCCGTCAAGATCCACGCAGGAACATGCCAGGTATTTTGGATTCAAACATTGACATCAGCCAACTCAACACCATCAACTTTAACAGTGTTGATCAGCGTACCGCCCACGTGGCAGTGGTACAACAAGGCATTGATCCAAACCTGGCGAACCAGCTCATGGCTGCTCAACAGCAGGCATTGCAGAGTGAGGCGAATGTACGTCACTCTGAGGTCATGGAGCGTCAACGTATGGAGCTTGTGAGTGAAGCTCGAGATCAACTTGCAAGCGTCGAACAACAAGCAGCCGAAGAAATTTCCAGGAGAAACCTTTTGTTGAACGAGCAGGCCGCCCAGGCGATGAGTGAGCATAAATCTGCTCAACTGCAGGTCACAGCGCAGGATCATCGCATCAGGGAACTGAGTGCCGAATTGACTCACGTGGTCAACAATGCAGGTGTTTTGACATCGTCTGCGGAGAAGTCCAATGCTGATCTGCAGGCAGCACGTTCAGAACTTGCAGAGTACCGCACTCAGATTGATGCAATGAATCAACACGCTTTGAACATGCATAAGCTGGCCGAATCTCAGAAGAAGGACTTCGAGGCGGAGATTGAGAAGCTTCGGAAGGAGCAGAGAGAGCTCATCCGGAATTTAAAGTCTCAACCTCTGGAGGGAACTCCTGGACTTATGATTCACTACGGTTCAGGGAAACCCATTCCACAATCCTCGAAGCCCAAAGGTCCAACCATTGTAGAGTTAGCTTCGGGAAGCAAGAAGCCTCAGCATTCATCAGATGCTGACGACGAGCATTTTCAGGCAGAACCTTTGAAGCCACCGGGATTACCCGGCGGTGGACCTCCAGGAGATGACGATGGTGATGATGAATCTGACGGCAAGAGAGGTCGCAGAGATAAGAAAGACAAGAAGAAGGACCGCAAGACTAGTCGTGGCCGCTCGCGACGACGACGTCGAAGAGATCCTTCATCCTCACCTTCATCATCAACATCCCCTACGTCATCAAGTTCGGATTCTGAGAGATCCTTTACCCGAAAGGTCAAAAAGGCCTTGGAGCGTTCTAGGACTAGTGATACTAAGGCCAAAGAGTCTGATAGGATCCTTGTACCTAAGTTCCCTCAACCCGAAAATTATAGGAATTGGAGAATCCGAGTAAGGGATGCCATAATTGCTGCTTCTGCTAAACCCGACCTAGCTTTTCAGTGGGTGGAGGAAGTGTTCAGGACAGATCAGTCTGCCGACGCTTTGAAGGACTCAGGTAAATTCGTGACCCTGGACGCAAAGCTCATGTCTTCGCTCACCAACATCTGCGAAGGGGACTTTGCACGGCAACTTGACATCTTTAAAGAAGAACAAGCCAAGTCAGGGACACCAGCTAGGGGACGTCAAGCATTGCTCATGATTCATAAACACTTCAGTACAAGTAGGAAGCATGGTGCAGTGTATGACATTGAGGACCTCATGGCGGTTACCTTAGTCAATGATGATCTCAGAGGTTTCATCACTCGATGGGACGCTGTGATCGCTGGAATGACTTCCGAGCCTGACATGATGTGGAAGCAAGCCTACTTTCACAACGCCATCAAGAACTTCAAGCCTCTCTCTCATGATCTGGCTGTGTATGATCGCACACCGGAGGGGGAACCCAACCGCTCTTATGACTTTCTCATGAAAGCTGCGAGGGACTACCTTGAGAGGAGACGTCTGGAGAAGATGAGACAGGCTACCAAGAAGTCCGTTTCAGGCAAAAGAGATGCAACGCCAGCACCCACGAGGCCGACATCCACGGGGAAGCCCACTGGCATTTGCTATGACTTTCAGGCTGGCAAATGTACCAGGGGAAAGGATTGCCGATACCGACATGAAAAGGCAGACAAAGGAAAAGGCGGAGGTAAGAAAGGCAAATCTAGGTCCAAGTCTAGGGGCGATGGTCGATCTTTGTCTCCTGGATCTAGGAACCAAGTGTGTAAGTTTTGAAAGGCAGGTAAGTGTCAACGAGGTAATGACTGTGCTTTCCAACACCCACCGAAGCCTGCAGCTGCATCTACCAAAGATGACAAGCGTGGAAAGAGCCAGAAAAAGAAGAAGAGAAATAAGAAGAAAAAGGGCGATCGCTCCAGATCGTCAAGTCGAGGTTCCAACTCCTCGAGAGGCTCACAGAGTCTCAAGGACAAAGGGGGAAAACCATCTTCCTCTGGCTCAGCTGCAGTTTGCCTGATGCGCGCTCTGATGATGGTCGCAGTCGTCAATCCTTCGACCAGCACTCATCGCGTGCCGGAAGGCATCGCCTCTCCGCATTGTTTCAACCAGCATTTTGCCATGCCAGTTACACCCAATCGCACTGTTTCATTTGGGGGCAACGATGAAATCTTCGAAGTTCCCATTGAGCAAAACTGTAATTTATATCCGTGCCAAGCCAAGCAACGAACTTTCAACCCAGTTCGCATTACCAAGGACGATCGTACTCGCAAAGATACGATCGAAGCACGAGAAAGTGATGCAATACTTGCAGCACAAATGTTGCAATCAGCTGTCTTTCGGGAGTTGCATGGTAAGCTTTGCAAATGCAGCTTTGAATGTGACAGTGATATCGGCTGTCGCCACTGCATCCGTTCCGACCTGAATGCCCTGCCAGGACACATGCCGTCCCAGCAGCGTAACGCATCCGCTGAGATAGCATGGATCGCTGACACTGGTAGTGCACAGGACTTAGTTTGCAGCAAGATGATTCCCGATGACATCGTGTATCACTCTCATGAACCCCTTGAATTAATCACTGCAAATGGTTCCCAATCAGCTGACCAACAAGCTTCTGTTCATATTGATTGCATCAATAAAGAAGTTCATCCATATGTTCTTCCCGATACCCCGGCTGTAATATCGGTAGGGATGAGATGTATTCAAGATGGATGGGATTTTGTTTGGAAAAGTTTTAGTCGCCCATATTTCAAGAAGAAAGATGGAACTAAGATCAAACTTGAAGTCAAAGATTTTGTTCCTTATCTACCATCCAGAGATGGGCAGGTACCCGCAGCAGTAGGGATTCCATTTTCATGGAACTCCGCTGCCGGGAACGGCAAGCCCATCATCTCACCTGTTCGAAGGTCTCGCATGTCAGTCGTCGGTGCCGAGTCCGATGATGAAGTCGAGGAGGTCGAAGTACCTTACGAGGCTTCCATCGCTGATGACGATGAAATTCCCGGACAAGCTATCGACGACCTCGAAGAATTCTTTCCTGGTGAACTTGCACCCGGACCGCCAGCAGCTATGACACCAGACGTTGTCGAAGGTTCGGAAGATGAAGCCGAAGCTCCTGAAGAACCAGTTGACGGTCGACTTCAGTTGCCTGAACCAAAGGCGATTGATCGTGGTGAAGCTGCACTTCGAGAAGAGGCCAGAACCCTTAGGCACATGATGACACATACCCCAAAGAATCCCTTTTGTGAAACATGCAAATGTGCCAAGATGTACAAACCTACCAAACGTAGCAAAGGGGAATCTCTGACTGTGGAATCCAACAAGTTTGGGGATCACATCACTGGGGATCATCTTGTGACCAGGGATGCCAACGAACAATCAATTGATGGTGACAGGGTTGCTATGATCATGAAAGATGTCGCTACGAACTTTCGTTGGATTTATCCATCAGCTAGAAGTCATGCCAAAGATTGTGTTTTAGCTTTTAGGCATTTCATTGCACCTGGTGAAGAAGTCGGAGTGTTTTATTCCGATGCAGCGCCATCCATCAAGCTCGCTTGTCGGGAAGTTGGGTGGAGACAGA